CTTGTGATTCTTGTGATTTCTTTTCTGAAATTATTCAAGAAGCAGCAGCCTTGGAAGACAGATGTTCAGAAGTGAGGCATCTGACACTAACTCATTTCTTTCATTTGGGACACGCAACTGGGTCCTTTCCCACAAGAAGTTTTTTGCCTGCTCGTTATTACTGTTGATTACACAGACTGGTGGCTCTCTGTAGAACAGAACCACCGAAATAAATATACGAATCTCTCCTTAAATCTCTCCTTGGTTTGCCAATATGTCTGTCCTGATAAGCACGGCCCCTGGCTATTCTATAAGTTAATCAATGTTTGAAATACTGAAGTGTTCCTTGGAAAAAAATCCATCTTTCTCTGACTGTTTATAAAAAATCTTTACATCATCCTGTTACCGCCTCTGAAACATTGCCTGGCTTCATTTTTAGTTTAACTGTTTCTGCTGTAATCTGTGCCCATGACTTAATAACTGTCTACTTCAGCTATCATAGTTCTCTCTTTCTAGATCATTTCCTAGCCAAGGATATATGATTACCGTCACTCGTGCTGGCCTGAGGACTCATTGCAATTTCAATTCAAAATTGCTCTCCATTTTCCAAACTCTCTAAAGTCTTGTTTCAACCTGTTTCTCTGGCCCTCCAGCCAACTATTTTCTCGCCTTCCTATTCTGTTTCCAAGGTCTTCACCTCTTTCTTGCCCTCTTTTCTGACTCGAGCATATTTCATCATGTTTACAGCTCTGGGTTTTTCTCCCAAAGGTAAACACTGCACTCTGCTACTTATCAATCAGTCTCAGTGTTATACTCGCCGTGGCCCTGGTTTTTGTCCTGGTTGTGTAGACATAAGCCTTCCTGGCCACATTCCCCCTCCTCCTACCTATTGCCTTCTCTTTAGCTTTGAAGGCTTGGAAGCAGCTATGATTATACTAATTGTCCTTTCTTCAGGCGCATAGGAAAAGGCCAAATTGCATGTGATCAGCATGTACGTCAACTGAACTCTCTGGGTGATATAGGGAACAAGAAATCTTTACTATTCTCTCAGTTACAAGATTATTGAAAAAAGTACTTAAAAGTAATCCCACTGCAGCGAAAGGAATCAAGAGGAGTGGGAACAAGAAGTCGTTTTGTAATATGGTTGCAGTGCCCACTGTTTTGGTCTGGTTCTCAAATCAATTTCTCAGTATTTAACTGATTTCTGCTGTTATTTTTTTTTTCAAATTGCAGTAAATTAAATGTGTGTTTGCATTTGTATTTATTGGAGTTTTAATTCTTTTAAATCCTACCTGCCACGGCTCTTAAAAGAAGTGGGGGATAATTATATCCATAGTTTTTGTAAGTCATTTCTTGTAGTGGAAAGGGATTATTTTTAAAGGTTTGTGGAAAAATATGACATCTTCAGTAAGGTAATAAATTCAGACGAACTTCTTCCCCCTCCCTCTTTTTTTTTGCCTGTTTAGCATTTTCCACTTTTTTACTCTGTGATGTACAAGCCCTCACTGGTTAATTATGTATATATTTAGCTACTGCATGTGTTGGGCTTATTATTGTCATCTAATTAGATGTAACTCGAACTACTTGCTTCTAGAAAAATCATTAAAAATTCTTTCCTAATGACCTAGAGATGACAAAATGTCTGTAAAGTGTGAAGAAGCAGACAAGCACAGGAACATCGCTCTTAAAGAGTGTTAATCCAGATGCTGCAATCATCTAATTAAACAATATTTTGCTGTCATTAACATTTTCACCAAGGAATTGCAGTTATAATTTCTTTGTCAGCTGTCTCTAGCTCACTTTACCTTCAAAACTAAAGTGCCATATAAAAACACTAAATTGCATGGTTTAATTAAAAAGTTTTTTTTAATGAAGAAACATATCCAGTATTTCTGAGATCTCATTTACTATGCCTCAGTTTTATTGTTCAAGTAGATTAGTGTCATAGGCTTGCAATATTTAATATTCAGCCTTTAATATTAATCTCTGTAAGCCTACTTGGGGGAAAATCTGAAGCTTCTGAAAAGGTATAGGGACTACCAGTAGCAGTACAGGTTTATGTTTTATATTTATTTAGCTGAAGAAAGAACCAAATAATTCTTGCTGGAAGCATCAGACAATTGATGAGATGGCTAAATATATTCATCTGCTGACTTTACTCTGAAAGTAATCATTGCGAAGCTAGAACTGATCATGAAAGCATTCCTAATAAAGTTAAACCACTAATATTTATGCATGTTTAGAATTAGGGATTTGTAATCCCATTATAGGCCTGGATCACTGTCCTCCACTCAGATAAGCATAGATGTGTGGTCTTATCTCATTGTGTAGGTTTGAACCATAATTTAAATTATGGTTCATCTTGTCGAGTCATTTTTATGTGTTGATATGAAAAAAAATGTTGAATTCAGAAAAATGGATCACTGACTTTTTTACTAAACAAATTAATAACTATTCTTAGCAGTTAGTCTCTTCATAAATAAAATCTGGTTTATAAATATTGAAGTAGGAGATAAGTAAATATTTTGTTCATTTTTTCACAAGGCTATGGTTATATTTATCAAATACATAATCACTAAGGCTTCATTGTTTGTAATTTATTCTACCTAAGCTGAGAGATAAGCTGCTTCAAATTATTTCTTGTTGTGGGGTAAAAAAATGCACACAAGCGTTACTGCAGTGTCCTGACATGGAGCTAATTCCACATGATAATTTGTTCATGTGTCCATACTGTAAGTAACCTATCAAAACCACACAGCAAAGGAGAACTCATGTACAGCAGCTAAGATGGCGATTGCTTTTTTCTCGCTCTATTCACATATTTGTGATTTTCCCATGTGGAATAGGAACAAAACATCAAAATCCTGTTGACTTAATATTGAAATTGAAATGAAATGAATATCAAAATTAAGTAATGTCAATATGGAAAATCTCAATTTTGAAATAAAAAATAATTTCGGATAACCCTAAATTTCCTTTCAAAATTTTGCTAAAGGATATTTTTACCTTTCCAAATGTTTCTATGAAGTGTTTTCAACTGAAGGGCTTTATTACTATGAACTCTTTTCATTAAAGCCCTTTGATTCTGAAGAATCATCATTTTTGCTTATGCTTTGTGATAGACTACAGTCACCTCAGTCATTCTATTCCTGACTCTCATATTTCTTTTAGTCTGCTTTCTACACAAGCACAATTGTCTTTCTTTTGCGGAAGCTTTCGCACACTCTTCTGTTAAGATAATTGAGGGTTCTGATGGTGAGAAAAGTATTATTGTATAAAGGTATAGTTTTGTAAAGGCCATATTTTATAGAACCTTAAATTTTACAATCTCCAGAAACTTTAGAAATCATATGTAATTAATCCCTTGCCAAAGAGGGAAATAATACTCTGATTTGACAGATGTGGAAAATGGGGCAGAGTTGTCTTACTTCAAGACATACGGAACACCTCCCCAAAACCCCTAAAACAATTAATATTTTGCCAGGGAATACCTTTTCTTTTCCTCCCTCACACAGATAAATTCTGGTGTATTTCTTGATCTAATTGTTTGATAAATTCTTATTCTGTCCAAGAATGGTTTTGCATTAATTCCTCATTGATATTAAAGAAGTGTTTTTGTTTCTATCCATCTTTATTTGTGTGTGGCACACAGTGCTGGTATTGTTTTTTAAAAAAGTTTTATTTGTATCTAAATGATTTTTTTTAATATTCTTGTGAGCATGTATATGTACAAAATGTAAACAGGAGGACACAGAATTGTTAACAATATGCACTTTTCCTGTTTTCAGTGAAACTATGTACAAAATAGAAACATGCTTCTTGTTCATCAACTTCTGTTGAAAAAACAAGGTGTTTGTAGAGCAGTGAAAGTCTCACATTTCATTAAAGTAGAGCTGATTTTTGTGGAGAATTGCAAACGCTGCTCAGAACAAGAGAGGCTGTGTTTTCCTGTGCTGGGTTTTGTACCCCAGGAATCTGTCCAGAATCTGGAAGGAAGCAGTTAGCGAGACAGGGCTGTAAATCTGCTGCAGGACTGGGAATTGTTAACCTGAGTTATTTCAGTCTGCTAATTATATTATATAAATACACACACACATATATTTATGACCTGATTTTGTTTTTTAAGACTTACGTTGCATATTGTGGGGTTCTCACTAAATCAATATGGTGGATGGTTCTGTACTGAGCAACTTCATTTGTCTTATCACTGAAATGTTAGATACTACTAAGTACCAGCTGGCACAGAAGTAGCAGCCTTTCCCAAACACACTTTTCCTGGTGATGAATTAATAATTTTCAGTTCACTTCAGCTGCAGATTGTTCATTTGAAACTGTATTTGAAGATGGTTTTTGCATATTTGAGCTGCCGGGAAGATAGCAATGTTTCTTTCGTTATGTTTGGAGAGAGTGGCCTGGGACAGTCAACTCTGTCTTTTAGGGGGGAGAAAACATTTTTTAATTTTCAAAGTGGGCATGAAATAGCGTTAAAGCAAGCATTAATTTCTGCGCTTGGATTCCACTGTTGCAGTGAAGTTTCACCGCTTCTTCAGGGAAGAAGAGCCGTGGGGAATAATGGATTAATATGGTATATCTAGGATAGACCTAGATTTGCAAACCTCAGATGTAGCCCCTTGCTGTTGGACTGCTGTTTAATCTTTGCCAGCTAATGATACTGCATACAGTTGCTAGGAAAATAATAGTCTAATGGTTTTAAATTTCATCATTCATGCTATGAAAATAGATTCATGGAAATAAAAAAGAACATGCTTATTGGCATATCGTGGGTTTTAGTTGATTTTGAAAGACACTGTGCTCTTTATATTGTGCTGATTTCTGCAGTGAGTTCTGATTCAAGATAAGTCCACCTAAATGACTACTTTCGTTTGAAAGATTTATATCTGATTCTGTCAAGTAGTGGGCACTGGGAACATGTGATGCAACAAAAGTAACTGCGAGATTGTTTCGCATCTGGAGAAGTGGACACCATTTCCTAATTCTTAAAACACTTTCTTTCTTAACAGGACGAACATACAATGATCTGAACCAATACCCTGTATTTCCGTGGGTTTTAACAAACTATGAATCTGAAGAGTTAGACCTGACCCTTCCAGGCAACTTCAGGGATCTTTCAAAGGTATGCTTCAATTCTGTTAAAGACAGTCACCCAGACCTTTCAGGAAGAGATTTTATTTTATATTTATAGTTTGGCTAAGTTAGGTCTTTATCTTAAAGTCAGAACAGTCTGAAATAGACTATTCTATTTTAGAATAATTTTGTACTGAATCACTACACTATGCTACTTCTGTGTCCCTGACTGATCTGGTTCCAAACCTGCGACTCCTCTGTACCTTCTGACTTACGGATCATGAGTGTGTCAGACCACTTGATCTCACTAATTATCTCCCTTAGTTTATGAAAGCTGAGCCTTGGGAAATAAGAAGCTGGGACTAATTTTTCACTTTGTTTTGAAGTGACTAGATGAGTAATATAATAGCAGCATCTCCTTTAGGTTTAATAATTTTTCAGTAAACAAGTATTTTGTATTTTAGACCCTGGAGTGTCTGGTCCCTATCATTATTTGTGGTTTTTGTCCTCCAACCAGACTTGGCAGTTTGTGCTTTATAATAATACAGTTCCTAATATTTCTTTCTCTGATAGCACCATCCCACCCTGAGTATCTCACGGTCTTATATCCTGGTT